TGTCCATTCCCGTTTTTCACGATTGCATTTTTGGTCTTTAGTGAGATCTTCATTTGATTTCTTTTGAAGACTTTGAAGACACAGGTACTTGTTTCTATCCATGGGAAGGTTGAATATCCTTCTATATTTATGGATAGTCGACCTTCCCATGGATAGAAACAAGTGCCTGTGGTTGAAGACTGTTCATAATCTTCAGGCTTTCTCCTGGAAGACGTGACACCAAAGTGAAACGGACTCATTTTGTTCGAAAATGATTTATGATTTGTCACGTGACTTCTCGCAACTATTTGCTTCGCATCACTGTACGGAGCTATTAGTTTCAGTCGAACCATCTTGAAATAATTACTTATCCCATATAGATTCTGATTGGTTGCTTTATGATGTGGCTGAGATACAGCAACAGCTATTGGCTTCAATGAGATAAAGAATTACAGACTTTTCTTGTCTCAGGATAAGACATCAAATGCAGGAAAATTAACTATGTGTATTTTAGTTCCGATCAACTTTCATTAATTCATGTTCGTTTTATTATGCACACTGAAAATTCAATATTGAAATGTCAATTATTAATACGTGTTTATTTGCTTTGTTAATCTGCAATATGCACGATTTGTTTTGCTCAACAATGTTCCTATGCAATGATAACAAAAATGCATTATCTGTATTCTATAACTTCTGCCAGTCTAGGCACACATCAAGAGAGGCACACCTCCAGTGTCGTGTCTATTTGTGAATGTTTTAATTTTCAACAAGTAAAGTGAACAAAATTTTAAAAGCATGGGTGTATAACGCACAACACTGAACAGCCATATAATAATATGGCTTAAAAATGACGATACAGATGGATAAAAGGGTCAGCAAAGATAATTTTATTTCCTTTAAAATCGAAGGTCCGTCGGGCGTAGCTATTAACCAAAACCAAAGTCCGATTGCAACAGTGGAAGGTCACGGACCTCGGACCACCGCTAATTTGAACCCCTGCCATGATGGTTGTAAGGCGGGGTCATCGGACAAATTTTTTAAACTAGATACCTTAATAATGATTAAGACCAAGTATGGTTAAATTTGTCTCAGTAGTTTCAGAGAAGAAGATTTTTGTAAAAGATTACAAAAAGTTACGAAAAATTGTTAAAAATTGACTATAAAGGGCAATAACTCCTAAAGGGGTCGACTGACAATTATTGGTCACTTATTTGTAGATCTTACTTTGCTGAACATTATTGCTATTTACAGTTTATCTCAATCTATAATAATATTCAAGATAATAACCAAAAACTGCAAAATTTCCTTAAAATTACAATTCAGGGGCAGCAACCCAACAACGGGTTGTCAGATTTGTCTGAAAATTTCAGGGCAGATAGATCTTGACCTGATAATCAGTTTTATCCTATGTCAGATTTACTCTAAATGCTTTGGTTTCAGAGAGATATAAGCCAAAATCTACATTTTACCCCTATGTTCTATTTTTAGCCATGGCGGCCATCTTGGTTGGTTAGCGGGGTCATCAGACACATTTTTTAAACTAGATACCCTAATGATGATTGTGGCTAAGTTTGGTTAAAATTGGCTCAGTGGTTTCAGAGAAGATTTTTGTAAAAGCTAAAAATTAAGATGACATATATATGAAAAGGTCTTAAAATTAAGATGAAATATAATATATGATTTAAGGTTGCTGATTAAATGTTGATTTTTCTCAACAGATGCAATTAAAACCACTGTTGTAAATACATCAGATATATACATTTGTCAAATCTATTTATCTCTCCATGATGTAGGGTAATCATGATTGCTATAGAAAATTATTAAAATATATGATAGGGCATGTATTTTGAATATATCGAATCATATTTCTTATTAAATCTTATGACCTGGGAAGACTTGTTGGACAGTTGTTGTAATTTGATATGAGAGATCATGAGATTAAATGATTTTTGTATGAATGGATCAGTTGTGTATAACATGTCAACGTTTTGTTTTCTCTTTTTAATAAACTTTCTGTCAGAATGTTTTGTCAAATATGAAATATTACCAGTTTAATAACATGAATGCATTGAAACTGAAAGGGTGGCATAAAAGATAAATGAGTTTTAAAAAAAAAATAACTCTGGGTTAAGTTCAGTGCAAAGTTGATTTAAACAAAATGTAATATTATATTGTAAGTATGTTAAACTAAATATTCATATAATGATATCTTGTGATATGTTACAATTCAATGACCTTCTATAGATTTAACGGCATAAAAAGGATAAGGTTCACTGAACACTGAATGTCACTATATATATATATAATATATTAAACTGGTCCAAAAATTCTATAAAATGTCACTGCACTAATTTTAATGTTTTATTGATGAAAAGACCTGAAAAGTACAATTTTTGGGAAATTTTTACAAATGCTATCATTTGAAAAAAGAGGGGCGAAAGATACCAGAGCCTGAGAGGGACAGTCAAACTCATAGATCGAAAATAAACTGACAATGCCATGGCTAAAAAATAAGACAAACTTGCAACTGACTTTTGCATTTTACATTCCTTTGGGAAATATTGTCTTTTGCAAACATGTTAGACAATATTCAAGAATAAAAATACTACTGTATGGCACTTTTTTATTTTAAAATGCAAAGGGCCAAAAAAGGGGCCTTAGCCAGACCTGCCAACTTGAGAGGTGTTGACCTGGCCCTTATAAAACTCAATTATTTAGACTAAATACTAAAGGCATTCAGAGGAGTAAACAACAGTCTGCACCAAAATCTTTTCCAACTTCTAGTCCGAAATCAATATTATGACATTTTTCTCATGTGTTTAAACAAAGTTTTGCAAATACTTGCTAGTCTGAAAAACATTTAACTAGTCTGGGGCATCGGACTAGTAGCTAACGATGCAGACTGTAAACAATACATTTAAATATATGTATATACTCATGATACTTTTTCAAAACCATAGAAGTTGGAATTAAGTAAACTAATGACATGTTTAGGAATACATTAGGTACTCTTGTGTATTAAATCACCATTGAGATTTTGAAGTCTGGGTCTTTCATAGCTGACTATGCGGTATGGGTTTTGCTCATTGTTGAAGGGTGCTCGGTGACCTATAGTTGTTAACTTCTACGCCATTTGGTCTCTGATGGAGAGTTGTCTCATTGACAATCATACAATATCTCCTTATTTTTATTTTATAGGTACATGCCTTATCATACCTGCTCCTTTCTGAAAACACTTAGACATTTATAAAACCAACTACCGACAGTGAAAAGTTTCCTCAGATATTGACACAATAGATAATCTGCTCTCTACAAAAATACATGTGCATGTACCTTTTGCTACATAGTTTCATGTACATATTATGACAGTTGGATGTACTTGAAACACGACATAATATTTACATTTAATAAAACAAAATAATAGACCAAAGAGTTGCAAGTCTATATATATATTCTATACTTAAACTTGAATAAAATAAGATGTAAATTTTAAAGTACTGTTTTCTTTGAGTTTATTACAAGTTAAGAATTTTAATTCCATGTGATTCATGCTTGAGCTATTGTTGACGATCACACCTGGTTTAATAGTATTGATGCCCATTAATTGTTACTGTAAATAATCAATTTTGTGACCTAAAGTAAATTATCTGATTTCTATGAGAGTTGAAGCTTGTTCATCGCAGAAAAACAATTATGTCCGAAATATCAGGTAAGCTTGTGATTGGTTGCTTTTTTTTCTTCAAATCTCATTTCCATCAAACACAATTTCTATTTATACTGGGCACTTTAAAGCTTGAGAAGTGGTTCACATTGTATACATAGCTATTTTAATAGGCTTTGTGTTGAACTCTAGATCATTATTAAGTACATTTTGTACATCATAACATGTATTTTGTTTGGTTATTTTGGAGATACATGTACATGTTGTGTCTAACTGACTTATGCCCACATCTTTACTGATGATCTTACCCTTGCAACAACTCATTCAAAGGGGTCTAACCCTGAGGGTCACTTGGGAATAGAAATATTGTCACTCTTGGTCTTCTTCTGACAGAAAAAAAAAACCTTGCCAGAGTGGGGCATCCGTTTGGTTGTGCATGGTATATAAATTTGCAGCCACTTTTTCCCTCGTTTTTCAGTTGCAGCCCAAATTTCCCACCTTTCATCCCTGTTGACCCCCTTTTACAGGACCTACCTATTGTACACGTGTATGTATTGTTATTTTTTTTCTCCTGAAAATGCATGAAATATTTGTCTTTGGACATTATACATGTATAAGCAACTAGTAATCAATAAATCAAGGGGTCTGTAAGTGGTCTGTTAATGGAGAAAATGGTTAATCTTAGCTTAATAATTATTACCACACACATGTAACAATACTAACAAATGTGTGTAGGGTATAATGTTTTTGACCTGTCAGTCCATTGCAACTCCTCTGACACCACTCAACAGAATTTCATGAAACTGCATAGGTGTTCCCCTTTATGTACATTTCAGAATAAGTAACAGATGATAATTCTTCCAACAAAGTTAATTGGAGAAAACATACATGTAGGAAGTCACCCTGTCTGTCCGTCTTTTATCTATGTGCCTTATAAGCATATCTAATTGACAAAAGGATATTGCTTAAACTTTACACTATCTGAGGGTTTGCATATATAGAAGAATAAATGATGGTTCTACATGTTAAAAGGGAGATAATCAAACATGCTGAAGTTGTGGTAGACAAAATACATTGTATAAGGATATAGGTATTATACTTGTTTATATCAGCTGGTTTGTGTTTTGCATTAACAGATCTAGAAAAGTAAGAAAATCACAGTATGAGTGAGGAAACCATATAGAGTTTGTGGTAGACAGTTTGAATTGTACTTTTTGTATTTTGATTTAATTCCAAGTATTTTCACAGTTGGGTGGATGATGCTATGCAGAATACAATGTATGTAGCGGTAGCAGACAGTAAAAATTGTCTTTTAATATTTGTATTTTTTTATTAATCATGTAATTTTTTTTCACAGTTGGAGTGAGAAAACCCTGCAGAATTTGTGGTAGACAGTTTGTTCCAGAATCATTGGTAATTATACATACAAACAGAAAATAAAAGAGAATATCACCTAGGCATTGTTTGGTATAAAAAATCGACAAAAAAATTTAGAGAGAAAGTAGATCAGATGAATGGATAATTACATGTAAATCCCAGATCCAAACAAGGGGAGTATACTGCTTTATGTCTGTCTGTTTCTCCATCAATACATGTATATGGCCTTTAGTCTATCCATCCAGTGAAATTTTCATCACATTTTTCTGAGAAACAAAGCTACCTGAAATTTGGTATCAAGCTACTATTCGTGAGATTTCAATTTTCATGGATTTCAGGTGTAAATTTGAACCAAAAAATTGAATTTTCAATGAAGAACAAATTTTCTATTGGCTTGATTGCAGACTTCGGCAAAACCACAAAATCAAATATCCACAAAAATACATTTTTGTCTCAACCCATGGAAATTGGTAGTACCCATGAAAATATATGAATCTGCAGTATCATGTGAGTATGGTTTACCTGTGATTTATTTTGACATCCATCACTCATTAACTTCCTGTAAAACGAATATTCTAAGGACAAAATTAAAAAAATACAGTCACCCGGTCGACCCTCATTTTATCGCCACAACCCTTTTTTATATTGGCAATTTTCCGAAATTCTGGAAATTTCCACCTTTTCTGTCACTGGTACCGATATTTACCGTATTATTAAAACAACAATGGAGGCCTCCAGTGCCAGCACTGCCAGCATTTTGTCGCTGTGCACCATAACAGTGTCTTCTGTTTCTCTATATGTAGCTAATTGTGTCAAGAAACTACATTTGAACTCCCCCCCCCCCCCCCTGTAAAAAAAAATTCGACCTACCAACCCTATTTTTACCTCACCTGGCCCGAAGGGCCAAGTGAGCTTTTCTCATCACTTGGCGTCCGTCGTCGGCGTTAACTTTTTACATTTTAAACTTCTTCTAGAGAACCACTGAATGGAATGAAACCAAACATGGCATGAATGTTCCTTATGAGGTGCTAACCAAGTGTTGTTACTTTGTAGCGGATCCATCATCCAAGATGGCCGCCAGCGGGGGACTTAGTTTAAGGATGTTCGCTACTCTGTTTCAAAATAACAAGCTTTTTAAAAGACTGTTATAAATTGATAGTATATAAATAAAGGAACTAAAAAAGCAGAAAAAAATGAAGGGTCCGTGTGCTTGTTTTCGAGATATAAGCCATTGAAAATTTGGCGGGAAATAATTCTCTCTAGATTTTTCATACATTTTACATTGGCACCCTTTTTCTTTCGAAAATTATGAAAAAGTAACTAGGATTTTATAGCATTTTCAAATATGGCTTTTTAAACTATATAAAATAAAATTATGAAAAGAAAAGTTGAGGTTAGCGGGAGAAATTTTTTAATGGAACTACATGGATAAAACCAGAGGATTCCGAATATCTGGCAAAATATCAAAAACATGAGGAGCGAACATCCTTAACATAGGACCCTATGGGAAATACATACAAATGTCTTCTTTTAGATAACCACTGAATGGAATAAAACCAAACATGGCATGAATGTTTCTTTTGAGGTGCTGACCGAGTGTTGTTACTTTGAAGCCGATCCATAATCCAAGATGGCCGCCAGCGGGGGACTTAGTTTAACATAGGACCCTAAGGGAAATACATACAAATGTCTTCTTTTAGAGAACCACTGAATGGAATGAAACCAAACATGGTATGAATGTTCCTTATGAGGTGCTGACCGAGTGTTATTACTTTGAAGCCGATTCATAATCCAAGATGGCCGCCAGCGGGGTACTTAGTTTAACATAGGACCCTATGGGAAATACATACAAATGTCTTCTTTTAGAGAACCACTGAATGGAATGAAACCAAACATAGCATGAATGTTCCTTATGAGGTGCTGACCAAGTCTTGTTACTATGAAGCTGATCCAAAATCCAAGATGGCCGCCAGCAGGGGACTTAGTTAACATTGGACCCTATGGGAAATACATACAAATGTCTTCTTTTAGAGAACCACTGAATGGAATGAAACCAAACATGGCATGAATGTTTCTTATGAGGTGCTGACCGAGTGTTGTTACTTTGAAGCCAATCCATAATCCAAGATGGCCGCCTGCAGGGGACTTAGTTTAACATGGGACCCTATGAGAAATACATACAAATGTCTTCTTTTAGAGAACCACTGAATGGAATGAAACCAAACATGGCATGAATGTTCCTTATGAGGTGCTGACAGAGTGTTGTTACATTAAAGCCGATCTATAATCCAAGATGGCCGCCAGCGGGGGACTTAGTTTAACATAGGACCCTATGGGAAATACATACAAACGTCTCCTTTTAGAGAACCACTGAATGGAATGAAACCAAACATGGCAAAAATGTTCCTTATGAGGTGCTGACCAAGTGTTGTTACTTTGTAGCTGATCCATCATCCAAGATGGCAGCCAGCGGGGGACTTAGTTTAACATAGGACCCTATGGGAAATACATACAAATGTCTTCTTTTAGAGAACCACTGAATGCAATGAAACCAAACATGGCATGAATGTTCCTTATGAGGTGCTGACCTAGTGTTGTTACTATGAAGCCGATCAATAATCTAAGATGGCCGCCAGCGGAGGACTTAGTTTAACATAGGACCCTATGAGAAATACGTACAAATGTTTTCTTTAAGAGAACCATTGAATGGAATGAAACCAAACATGGCATGAATGTTCCTTTTGAGGTGCTGACCAAGTGTTGTTACTTTGAAGCTGATCCTTCATCCATGATGGCTGCCAGATGGGGACAATGTTTAACAAAGGACCCTATGGACAATACATACAAATGTCTTCTTTTAGAGAACCACATACTGAATGGATTGAAACCAAACATGGCATGAATGTTCCTTATGAGGTGCTGACTAAGTTTTGTTACTTTGAAGCTGATCCTTCATCCATGATGGCCGCCAATGGGGGGACTTCCTTTAACATAAGACCCTATGGGAATTACATACAAATGCTTCTTCTAGAGGTGCACTGAATGGAATGAAACCAAAACATGGCATAAATGTTTCTTATGAGGTGCTGATTAAGTGTTGCTACTTTGTTGCCGATTTACTGTTCAAAATGGCCACCAGGATTTTTTATTAAATTACAGGACCAATATTAAACCAAATTTGGCCTCACTCATTATTAGGGTATCTGTTATGATTTTAATGTATTTTTACATGATTTCCAAAACCAAAGTAGAATCAGGTGAGCGACACAGGCTCTTGAGAGCCTCTAGTTTTTCAGCATGTGACAGTAAACTCTTATATTTTTATGTTTGGCCTTACTATTCATATACATGTTTAAGATTATGTCCCCTTTTTCTAATGAACTACAAAACAAAGCTTCCTAACTAATGGAACAGACATATTTAATCTGGGCAAATTAGTTATTTGATCTGGGCAAATTAGTTGTTTAATCTGGGCAAATTAGTTATTTGATCTGGGCAAATTAGTTATTTGATCTGGGCAAATTAGTTATTTGATCTGGGCAGATTAGTTATTTAATCTGGGCAAATTAGTTATTTGATCATGCGTACTCAGTGCTGGACCTTCTCATGACCACCATTGTAAATTGATGTAGAATTCATGTTGACTGAAACTATTGTAAAATCAGTTATTCCTTTCCAGAACATAATATATCATTCATGCCTTTGATGAAAACAATTACATTTATAAGCTTAGTATATACAAAATGTCATTCAAAGCTGGTGGCATCATTAATTTAAACTGATGAAAACAGCAAATGTAAAAATGATTTCTAAATTTACAGAACAGTTCAAATGTTTTTTTTTATGTTTTATTTTTCATTTTAGGCCAAGCATGAACCTATTTGTAGAAAGACTGCAGCAAAAAAGCCTAAAGTATTTGATTCAGCCAAACAAAGAGCTGAGGGTACAGAAGTCAGCTATAAACAGATAAAACAGTCTCAGAAAAAGGTAAGCCTCCTCGTTGGAGAAAACATTTGATTCAGTTGCACACCGAGTGCTGATTTTCAATGTTAATCATAAAAAACAATTACACATAAAACCTTAAAAATAGTGAGGATCCTTACTTGTGGTTCAAAAACACACAGGACGTTTTTTTATCAACATTATATCGTAAATTACACACACAAACTCAACAAAAAGTAGACAATTATAATTGTAATTGTATAGTCACAAAAGTTTGAATCAGCTGAAGGACTACCAGGTGAGTGCATAATTCTTCAAAAAAGAAAGCAGATATGTAGACTTAAGTAAAGGGAGATAAGTGTTCAAATCAAAAAATGTGTTTATCATACCTGTAAGCAGTTTCTTTATTGCTTTTTAAGCATTTTTGTGAAACAAAATTTTTATATTCTGCATTGCTTGGAAGCTTAAAAAACTATTATAAAGATAGTTTACACAAACGTACAAGAGATATGTAGAGGTTATGTCCCTTATCCTAGGTCTACCTGATTAATCTGAACCAAGATTTGTTATTATTTACATATATTCTTTCATAAATGTTATAACTAACTTATCGACCAATTACAGGCCAAGCAGGAGGCAAGTATAAAACCAAACAAAGCATTAAACAGTCAATCTCAAACTCAAAATCTTATTTCACTTTTCTAGTCATATGAAATTCTTATGCAGTGATTTTTTAGTATTTTATGGAGAAATGTCGATTTTATCCTTCACAGACACCATTTCTGGATAAGGGCTATTTAAAAGTTAATAAAATTACATGCTCAGTAGCACAGGATTATCATGCTAATTTAGAAATTATACTGACAAAATTTACCTTTTGAAATTAAGATTGAAAAATCATATTGTATTTGAATAATTGACAACATATGTCCTTGATTTTACAGTTGCAAATATCTGTAATATGACTCTATTACACATCGTCATACAACTAAATTTGCAGCATTAAAATCACTGGTTTGTGTTGACTAGTCTTGAAAATACAATTATTACTACATGTAATTGGCCAAATAAATAAATCTTAAGCTTCTCGATCAAAGTTATGTATAAAAGATGAGATTTTTTTTTCTCTTTGACCAGAAAATATATCATAAAACTGAATTGGAATAGGCAAGTCTAATTTGTGACTTGTACCTAATTTTTCTAAACAAAAATGAGACTGAAAATGCAGGTTTTAGATTAACGAGAAAAAAAAGTGAAAAGCAAAAGATTTATTTAATTGACTTGACTTGTATTTGTACAATTTAGGAGTAAATGAATATCATCATCGATAGGATTGAGACTATAAAAGTATGGCTGTTAGGTGTACCCATCATTGTTGTAAATCATGCATCTTAAGAATCAGTAGTATATTTCACTATGAACCAAATATGACTGTCGTTACACTGGCAGATGTTTCCTGCCACAGAACAGCAGTCGAAATTGTTTTTAAAAGAACAGTCCATTACAAAAACTTATCCCTGGATTATATTCCACTGTTGGTTACTCAATAAAAGTTTGGTGTTCTTTTCTCTTGTTCGGTGTTTACCTGGACTTAAAAGGATTACTGCAAACCAACTTCTTTGGATTCAGTATTTTTTTGTCAGATTTATATGGATCTCATGTGTAAAGGCTTACGGCCTTACCACAAATTTAAATGTTCAAAGTAGTACAAATTATCTATGAGTAAGTATGGCAGACTTTGGCAACACCACAAAATCAAATATCCACCAAATTACAATTTTTCTTCAATCCACAGAAATAGATAACCATGAAAATAAATCAACCAACAGTTATTTCCCTAGCAATTTATTCAAACCACTTTAAATAATAAATTGATTTAAATTGATACACGAACAAAGTTGGAAAATCAAGAAAATATTTGCCACAAAGTCACCTAGAAAGGGGAATAAAATTCACGAACATTAGTTGGTTTACAGTTTTCTTAATGCATGGATTCACACACAGAACTGTTCTTAACAGTCTCAAAAAGCAAACCTCAAGAATGCAACTTGTAAATAACAGTCAAGAACAGTCCAGGTAAAAGTAGAAAAAGACTGCAGATGTCACCCTAAGTTGGTAAAAGCTGCTGATGTTAAATTCAAAATACTTGTCACTGGGATGCAAGTCATGTCTTTGGTTCATAGTGAATTGAAAGGAATCTTTATGTCATAATATTGTCAGACTTATATGTCAAATTAAGTTTTTGTTGTAAGAAGATAAAAATGAATATCAAGTTCTGAAAAGTTTAAACAACAGACAATTATATTATGTATTTCTCTTGTTAGAATTGTAACATTGTAGAAGAATTATAAATTAATGGTGTCATATCTTTGTCTGCAAGGTACCATACCACAAAGGGAAGGCTGGGATTGATTTTGGGGGTAATTGCCTCAAAATTTTAGAAATTAGGGGCCAAAAAGTGGAAAAAAACAATCATTTTTCTAGTTTCAGGACAATAACTTGTGTGTAAGTGTATGGATCTTTATGGAATTGTACTACAAGGTTCCATATCACAAAGGGAAAGCTGGGTTTGAGTTTGGGGGTAATTGCCCTAAACGTTTAGGAATTTGGGGCCGAAAGGGGCCAAAAAACAAGAATTTTTTTCTAGTTTCCAGACAATAACTTGTGTTCAAGTGTATGGATCTCTCTGAAATTGTACTGCAAGGTACCATACCACAAAGGGAAGGCTGGGATTGAGTTTGGGGGTGATGAATCATAAGGGGGTTCAAAAAATTGGGGGGTGATTTTTGTTTCCTTTTTTTTCTTTAAAATTTTTTAAATTTGTTATTTCTGATTTATATATAAAAGCAAATAATAATCATATGGTTTGATTAGGTAAATTAAAAACTTTTAAGTTCTTAGACCACATTCATTCTGTGTCAGAAACCTATGCTGTGTCAAATATTTAATTTGAAACTAAAAAAATATTCGTCAGGGATGTCTTTAAGATATAAAATGTTTATGTTTTGAAAGTATTTAAAAAAGATAAGATGTTGGTGGGCCAATATTTTAATACATGACAAAGTATAAAGAAAGTTGGGTGACATATTGTAAGGATAAGTTTTAAATGTGTGTAATATATGTAGTCAGCATCCCTATATATTGTTAGTCAGTCAAGGAACTGTGTATAACTATCAGGGCTTCCAAAAAAATATTTGAGCCAGCCGGACATTTTTGTCTTATCCTGATTTTAATCTCTTAAGACTAAGTAACAAAAGGAAATCATGGTAATCAGTTGTGCATCTAACATGCATGGTCAGTTGGGCATCTACATGTATTGTAGAAGTTATGGTCAGTTGGGCATCTACATGTATTGTAGAAGTTATGGTCAGTTGGGCATCTACATGTATTGTAGAAGTTATAGTCAGTTGGGCATCTACATGTATTGTAGAAGTTATGGTCAGTTGGGCATCTACATGTATTGTAGAAGTTATGGTCAGTTGGGCATCTACATGCATGGTCAGTTGGGCATCTACATGCATGGTCAGTTGGGCATCTACATGGCATGGTCAGTTGGGCATCTACATGTATGGTCAGTTGGGCATCTACATGTATGGTCAGTTTGGCATCTACATATATGGTCAGTTTGGCATCTACATGCATGGTCAGTTGGACATATACATGCATGGTCAGTTGGGCATCTACATGGCATGGTCAGTTAGGCATCTACATGGCATGGTCAGTTGGGCATCTACATGCATGGTCAGTTTGGCATCTACCAGACTACATGGCATGGTCAGTTTGGTATCTACATGCATGATCAGTTGGGCATCTACAAGCATGGGCAGCTGGGCATCTACATGCATGGGCAGTTGGGCATCTACATGTACATGCATGGTCAGTTGGGCATCTACATACATGGTCAGTTGGGCATCTACATGTATGGTCAGTTGGGCATCTACATGTATGGTCAGTTGGGCATCTACATGTGTGGTCAGTTTGGCATCTACATGTATGGTCAGTTGGGCATCTACATGTATGGTCAGTTGGCATCTACATGTATGGTCAGTTGGGCATCTACATGTATGGTCAGTTGGCATCACTATCAACAAACATAATCAATAGTAAAGATATTTTGACTGTATGATTTAATTTATACTGGGGTCTATTTATATTTTTGATTTGTGAATAAGAATTATTCTCATTTTGTTGCATGTCAAAGCACTTTTTCACAAACTGATGCATTCTGGGTAATTTTTTCAAAAGCATAGTCCAAATTTATGTGGTTGATTTTTAACGTCCTAAACTATGGATATTTTACCTATGGTGTACCATCATTTTGATTTTTGGTGTTACAAGCAACGAAATTACCAATAACTCTTAGATTCTGAAATGGGGAATTATAGTTTCTTGAAAAATAGAGACAATTCATTAATTTATCTTAATAATTTAATTTTGGATGTGGCACATCTTCTGATCGGCTGAAAGTGTTTTGTCTATCAGCTCATAGACATAATTTTGTCATGTCACGTGACGTCACTAACGTTTTTTTCAAAATTTACTCCTAAAAATAGAATTTAGAATTAAATTATAATCTACACGGGTTATTCAGTGTGCACCACATTTTTGATGTTATTTCTTTATAGACAGAAAAAATATTACAGTAATTCCTTAAATGTCATCCTAATTATGCAGTTTATTTGAGCTATTAATATCACAAGTTTTATTGTTCATTCAGTTTAGCACAGATGTCATGATTTTTGCACAGACAAGGATCATTGATTAAATTTTATTATATTACATTAATAGCTATTAAGTGTAATTTCCCAAATCATTTTTTAGATGACAGAATTGATAAATTTACCAATGCATTGGTTTTCCACTAGCTGATTTCTGTTATTTACTGAGAAACAAAAATAATGCTTATTAATTTATTTATCCAAAATAGGATTACTTTTTTTTTTCTTTGACCTTGATATTTAGGGCATTAAAAAATGAAAACAACACGTTATAGATGTCATGCATCTGAAACACTTTTCTGGATTTATCTTCATCAGGAACGCTCAAAGCCGAATATTTAAAAGCCAAGAATGAATAAGAACTGAAACAGTTGAAGAGCTATATGACCAAAATGGAACTAAAAATAATAGCTAAATCCATCCAATTTTGACTGACAGAGTTGAAACCCTAGTTGCTTTAGTTTCTTTATAATTTAATAATTTTTGAAAGGTTTTGTCAGTACCGAAGTATTGACTTCTGTGCTGATGATACCCACGGGGACGGATATTCCACCAGCAGTTATATCAAAGGATAATCACAAAAAAAGTTGTGCAATTAATGAATGATGATAAAACTCATTCATTCCACAATCAATTAAGCTTGTTAGACAACGTGTGTGCAATGCATACTTTCAAAGAGTTGAAATGTTTATGCAAATTGAACTGCTGAAAATAATTAAATAGTCACGAAACTGTGAATTATGATAGGACATCGCAGTATGATCTTACTCATAGTACTTCACAGGGGCCTCAGTGGCAGAATGGTCTTAGTAGTTCATCTACTGTAATACAGTATCTTTGTCAACACTTATGTTGTGAGTTTGAATCCTGCAGGTAGCAGGTACGTTCAATCCAATCTTAATTGACTAGAATGGCCAGTTTTCCTGTCAAAGATTGTGGTTCTCTCCAGGCACTCCAGCGTCCTCCACCAATCAAAACTTACCACCAAGATATAGACAATAGTACTGGAAGTGGTGTTAAACACCAACAATCAATCAATCCTTACCACCACGATATAGACAATAGTACTGAGAGTGGTGTTAAACACCAACAATCAATCCTTACCACCACGATTTAGACAATAGTACTGGAAGTGGTGTTAAACACCAACAATCAATCAATCAATCCTCACCACCACGATATAGACAATAGAACTGAAAGTGGTGTTAAACACCAACAATCAATCCTTACCATCACGATATAGACAATAGTACTGGAAGTGGTGTTAAACATCAACAATCAATCAATCCTTACCACCACGATATAGACAATAGTACTGAAAGTGGTGTTAAACACCAACAATCAATCAGTCAATCCTCACCACCACGAAAAAGACAATAGTACTGGAAGTGGTGTTAAACATCAACAATCAATCAATCCTTACCACCACGATATAGACAATAGTACTGGAAGTGATGTTAAACATCAACAATCAATCAATCAATCACAGTATTTCACAATGGTTTTATTGGTTTATTCATTTTTGTCTTGCCTGAGACAATTTTAGCAGAATGTCTGACAATTTATGTATGTTATCAGTTATCACCTGTAGCAGCAACAGCATGGAAGGTTAATATTTCAGAACCTAGACATCCTAGACCTGCCATATTTTGTAAAAACATGTTGGCTAATGGTTTAAAGTTTCCATCTAGCATAAGGCAGTCAATCATGACCTCATTTTCATTGTTTAATGACTTATAACTTTAATGAGCATTTAATTTAAGCACTTAGGTCTTTTTTTTCTACTATGAGTAATACATGTAGTTTAGATAAGTGGAATACTATGTCCTGTCCAATCGACTTCAACTTAATTCATATGAGATTTAGCTATATAGAAAGGTTGTAAAGTGGACATGGTCATCTGACATATTATGACCCTTGAACTTGATCTCCTTTCATGGTTCAATGATCAACATAACTGTTAGTTCTTAGCTCAGTTTTTCATTTTCTATGACTAAAAGATCAACTATACCTGTTTCTATGTGTACATGCATACCTGTCTTGTCCTGTTTCCATGGTTCTTATATTAAAACATGTAGTTAGACCTTTTTCTCAAATTTTGTCAAACTATTATTCATTCATATTTATACTTTGGAAGGGATTGGGGATGTAAATATGCAATAATATACAGATTATTTAGATATATATAATCTCTCTCTTTCCAGGTTGTAAAACCTCCAAAATCCAACTGGAGATTGCAGCATCAAGACTTTATCAATACTGTGAGAGCAGCTAGGGGTGTAACACAGGCTTTAGAAAGAGGAGATCCCCTACCTCCTCCTCCCCCTCCTTCCATTAACCCAGGTAAGTCAGGGATGTCTCACAGGCCTTAAAGAGAGGAGTTACCCTACCCCGTCCTCACCCTCCCTCTATTAACCCGGGGAAGTCAGGGATGACTCGCATGCCTTAAAGAGAGGAGTTACCCTACCCCCTCCTCCCCTCCCTCTATAAACCAAGGTAAGTCGGGGATGTCTCACAGGCCTTAAAGAGAGGAGTTACCCTACCCCTCCTCCCCTCCCTCTATAAACCAAGGTAAGTCAGGGATGTCTCACAGGCCTTAAAGAGAGGAGTTACCCTACCCCCTCCTCCCCCTCCCTCAATTAACCCAGGTAAGTCGGGGATGAATCATAGGCCTTAAAGAGAGGAGATCCCCTACCCATCCTCCCCTCCCTCTATAAACCAAGGTAAGTCAGGATGTCACTCAGGTCTCAGAGAGGAGATTCCCTACCCCTCTTACACCTCCTCCTATTAACCTAGATATGTCAAGGATGTCACTCAGGCCTAAGAGAGAGAGATCCCTTACCCCTCCTTCACCTTTCTGTATGAATTATTGTCAAGTCTGGGTGTAACACATTATAAATGCTAAATTTGAAATATTCTTAAAAAAAAATGGTAGAAACTCAAACTGCTTTTAATAGGCAGTTGGCTTTGACATCTGTTCTAATTATTCAGACTAAAATGTTCTAACAAAATTAACTTTAATTCATAACAGAATTCTTATATTTGACCAAAAAAATAAATTGGTTTAACATTTTAGATTATGTGAAGCTTTAGCTGTAACCTAACTTTAGGACTATCAAAGCACCAATTGATACTCACCAATATTTAGATACAATACTCTTATTTATTAATTTTCAGATTATGAGCAATGTCCTTACTGTGCCAGAAGATTTAATGCAAAAGCTGCTGAGAGGCATATAAACTTTTGTAAGGAACAACAATCTAGGATACCTAACCGGGCAACTAAGGGTGATCCCAATGCTAAAGCTAAAATGATGGCTCGTAACACGGTAAGCTAAAATGATGGCTCGTAACACAGTAAGCTAAAATGATGGCTCGTAACTCGGTAAGCTAAAATGATGGCTCGTAACACGGTAAGCTGAAATGATGGCTCGTAACACCATAAGCTAAAATGATGGCTCATAACACAGTAAGCTAAAATGATGGCTCATAACACAGTAAGCTAAAATGATGACTCGTAACTCAGTAAGCTTAAATGATGGCTCGTAACACGTTAAGCTAAAACGATGGCTCGTAACACAGTAAGCTAAAATGATGGCTCGTTACTCCCAAGATAAAACGATGGCTTGTAACACTGTAAGCTAACATCATGGCTTGTAACTCAGTAAGATAAATGATAGCTTGTAACATGGTAAGAAAAAATGATGGATTGTAACACAGTAAGATAAAAGATAAAATGATGGCTCGTAACATGATAAGATGAAATGATGGCTCGTAAGACACGTACGGTAAGATGAAATGATGGCTCGTAGCATTGTAAGATAACAGATAAAATGATGGCTCATAACACGATAAGATGAAATGATGGCTCATAACACGATAAGATGAAATGATGGCTCATAACACGATAAGATGAAATGATGGCTCATAACACGATAAGATGAAATGATGGCTCGTAACACGGTAAGATAAAATGATGGATTGTTATAACACCTAAAATAAAATGAAGGTTCATAACACAGTGAGATAAAATAATGACTTGTAACTTGTAAGATAAAATTGTGGCTCGTAACACAGAAAGATAAAATGATGGCTTGTAACCTAGTTATGATAAAATAATGACACTTAACTGAGTTAAGTTAAATTATAGTTTTATATGAAATAAGGAGATTTAGTATGACTGCCAATGAAACAACTATCTGCCAGAGACCAAACGACGTAGATGTTAACAGTATAGGTCACAGTACAACCGTTAACAATGAGCAGAATACCACATAGCAAGCTGTAAAAAACAATTAACAGAAATCTAACATTATGTATTTTATCATTTTTATTTATAACATGTTACATAAGCATTCTCACAAAACATTAGTTTCAAGTTAATTATTTGGTTTATATACAAAGGATTTCTCATTTGAACAACTGTATTGTATAATTTATTAATTTAAAGTACTTGGATTTTACAGTATCAGGCACCTAAGCCAAAGACAAAAGCAAGCCCAGGAGGAGCAGGAGATAGTCCAGGGTATGGCAGGGCACCAGCATCTCAACCAGGTAATGCATTGTGGGTAATTCATTGGTCTGTACACAAGTATTCCACCTTTCTGTCCTTTGTACTTTGAACATTATCACAATTATATCATATTGATTGTGATTTTCATCTCAAAACTTTTTTGAAGGAAGTATTTGTTTACATAAAAATTAAAGGAAGAAACTAAGCAAGTGATATTTCTTTTAGGTTATTTTTTATTAAACAAAACAAGAAACAAACAAAAAAATATGGCAGAAAGGACCATTTTCAGTTTTTTTTGTTATGCATTGCTCAATTTGATTTCAGTTCTTTTTCATCAATAAATAAATGGAAGTCAATTCGAGGATAAAATGTCTTTACTGAGCTGTCAAGATAGTAACTGAGCAGAGAATTGTAATATTATTCCATTTATTTCCCTAGGCCAAAAATCCAAAAAGCCTCTGTCAAAAAAAAGTGACAAACAAGCGACCAAGTCTTCATCGTGTTCTATCTTATGACAAGGTATCTGAGATGTGTTTTATCCTTCATTAGATTGCTAATACAGAGGACATACCGGGTCGGCACTGATCTGTTCTGATTTTTGTTGAATTTGGGTGTTTGGACAAACATTTACTATCACTTCCTTTGTTGGTAGCAACTGTTTGTCAAAATTGTTTAAGTGAAGAATTAAATTACATTTTAGCTCACCTGTCCACAGGGCCATTGTGAGCTATTGCTTTCGCCTGGCATCCATCGTCTGACTAATAATAACTTCAGAAAATTTTATATGAATATTAGTTTCGTCTCCTTTTCCCCCTTTTTTTTTGCAGATATCAGTCTGTTGTTGACATTCTTCATTACACTTTTTATATGGTCTTTTCCTTTAAAACCCATTTTGCAATTGAATTCAAATGTGAACACAATCGTCCTTCAATTGTTTTCTTGTAAATGTATTCCTGATTTTCCTGCCAATCCCCAAGCATCCTGTTAAACTAAGTATAGATCATATGGTTTAAACAAGAAATATGATACTTTTATGACTGTCATCATAAACATTTATTTAATTTTCCACTTACAGTTGTGAAATAAAAAGTTACATATATTTTTCCCCAAAAATTTCTCGTTTTACTTAATAATGACCATTTTGACAAAATTTCGTTAAGTGAAAGTTATCTCCATTTCAGCCTTCTTTGCAGATTTGCTATGATCTCTGCACATTAAAGAACCATTGCAACAACTCTCTGAGGGGTCAAAGCAAAATTTCTGTACCTCATTTTCCAGTTGCAGTCCAAATTACCAGCCTTTCATCCTGGTCAACCTACCTACATATTAATTGATCATTCGTCCTGAATATGCATGACAAATTTGCCACTGGACATTAAACAAGCAACAATCAATCATATGAGTTGGCATTTGGACTTAGAAAGTTCATAAAATAACTGTTTTTCTATAAAATAAGGAGATGTGGTATGATTGTGGTATGGGGTGGGGGTGGGGGGAAGGTGGGAGACAAAAAAAAGATTCTGAAAGTGGGAGGTGGGAGAAGGGTACCCCCCTGTCTACCCCCTCATAATATTACAGTATTTATTCCTTAAGGAATAAAGGGTATAGAATATATGTTCCAAAAGGAACAGATATCATGACATTGTTTATTAGAAAGTTCCCAGGGGAACTAGGCAAAACAAATATACGTTGACATCTTGACCAAACCATATTCCCCTTATGAATTGACATGAATATATTGTGCATACATTGCATAGTTAATGGGTGAGCGATACAGGCTACTTGGAGCCTCCAGTTCAGAATAGAAAAGCAGGTGATGAAAATATTTATTCAAAAAATTATTGATAAAAAAAATTTATAAAAAAAAGTATATGAGCTGACCTGTTATCCTCATAGTAAACATGTAATACTGCTAAACCCATAATGATAATGGCGTTAAGAAGCTAAGTTACTATTGACATTACCAAATTACATTAGTGGAAACTTAAATTTCACATCTGAGTTTTAATGCATGGCCGAAGTTACAATAAAGCTTTTCTGCTTTTTAACTTTTTTTTAAACTTACATGTACTTTTTAAGGTGATTGGAAAATTGCCTATAAGAATTATTTTATATGCAAAACAATGGCTTTAAGCTAACATATTTGTTTGTTTCAATCATGCCGTTATAGCTAGATTAAAGTTTTAGTGTTATTTAGTTGTATATTTTTTAGAAATCTAGGTTAATTTAGAGAACAGTATTTGAAATCAATGTCGAGAATTTTTTTTAACTCAAAAGTCAACAAAATATTTTAAAAATTCAAAACTATATGTCAGGACCTATACATGTCATTTATCAGGGTTATTTTGTGTTGTTTAGTTTCTATAAATACCATTTGCATTTGATATTCAATTTATAATTTTTAGTGAAAGAAAGAATATATCAGTCAGATTTGAGTTGATTTATCTACACAGTCATATATAAAAAATATAAGAATTCCATTGGAAAAAATTCCTTGTCAAAATGGGTTTAGTTAGTCTATAATACCATACAGTATGCATTAAATTTTAAAATGAAACCATGCTACTATATAACTTAAACCCAATAATAGGTCTATCTATTAATCTAAAGCATAAGTTATGGTATATATATATCTGTATATGCACATTGCACGTTTTTGGTAGAACCTTTTTCCTAAATACATTCACAATAAATCTGTAACTAATAAAACTCCTTGATAATAATTTTTATTTCTTTTTATTATTGACAACAGTTTTTTGTTATTTTTATCTTTGACGAAGGATCTCATTTCTTCCTTTATGTTTGGCAATTGTTTTTTTCTTTTCTTGTTTCTATCTTTTATCTTTTTCTACTTTTTTGGTTAGGATGAGCTTACCTTGCATCCATAAAAATGTCACCAAAATAAGGATTCAGTTATGCATGTTTTTGTGAAATACATATAGTTATTTTTCGTCCATTGTGTCCATGCAATATCATGAAAAATACGAATTGATTGTAATTTTTTGTTTAATTTATTGGCAACTTTTTATAGACCCAGAACTTAGAGTTTAACAAATTGTATAGATACCTGTCTATCGGGAAGACTGTAAGTTGACCTCTAGATGTCTATCGGGAAGACTGTAAGTTGACCTCTAGATGTGTTAATGTTATTTTTGTCATTGGGTTGCTGTCTCATTGATGTATATTCCATTCATCTAGAAAAACTTAATGAAATATATGATTAGCCAGTAGCTTGACAGTGATGAATTATGACGTGTGAGCACTTGTCGGACACCTACTTCTTGTTTGCCGATACTTTGAATTTCCGATATGTTGAATAGATTTGGAATATTTTTGTTACACATTTCTCCAGCTCTACTGATAGAATGACTTGTTAGCACTTATCAATTTTGGGCCTTATCGACCCTACCTTTATAATTATCCATTTATCTCATCTATTGTAAAATATATTATGATTTTCTGAATTTTGGCAGAAGACACAAAACATGTAGACGACTTTCTAATTCATGCACTCTCCTGTAATGTAAATCTTAAAGATGTCATAGGCAAATAGCGATAAACAGATTATCAGTGGTCTTTCAAACTCTTAAGATGTTTCTCAGCCACATCTCATCTGTCAGCTATCTGCGAGAACATTAGAGTAATCATGATAATCACGATTCAAAATACAAAGAATCGTTATTTAATGCTTTTTTATGTGAAAGATAATCAAAATGGCTATGCCTGTTATGTTTTTTTTTCACAACCTATTTTAAATAGTTTTTCGTGATATAATGTATGTAAGCATGTTTTTCCATTTTATTGTGATTCAAAATTGAGAACAAATCTCAGATATCTAGTCATAAGTCCCTAATTTACATAGCAGATACCATTAATTATTCTCCAACTCTAGAGTGGGGATATATTGCATTTACCTTGTCTGTCTGTTCGTCATATTTTTTCTGGCATGATACACTTTTTCAAACTACTCTGGTAATATGTATATATGTACAGAACATAATGACTTCATATTTATTCAGAAGCTTGACAGTGATGAGTTGTAAAGTATGAGCACTTTTTTGATCAGTCAGACAGCTACTTCCTGTTTGCCAATACTTTGAATTACAAGTGGGGGTAATAGTTTTACGAGTGGGTGTAGTAGTTTAACATGACAACCTGTGCATTCTTGTTTTGTAGAATGTGTAATTTTAATGCTAGTTTAATATTATTTGAAGGTATGACTGAAATTCTTAAAATGTAAAAATGTGTAACTTATCATAAAGATTTTATGTCAAGCATTTGTTCATTTGAACATTACTTTTTCTATATTTACAATATGGATCGATCATCTTTAAAAAAAACATGAGTTTAACAAGTTCACGTACTGATCAGAGGAAGAAATTAATTTATCGCTGTGAATTGCATGTTAATGAATAAAGACTTTATTCTTACTGATTTTTTAATTTATTTTTTTAATTCTACTTTTTGCAGGAGTTGGAAGAACGCCCCCTGGTGCTAGTAATGGTTACGGTAGAGGTGGCGCCAGCACTAGAGGGCGTTCTACTGGAACAACATCATTTTTGATGATCTAATTTACATATATAAGATTTGATAATCACTCAAGTTAACATTAGGAAAACTCTCGTTTGTATCACTTTACCTTACACAAGTTTTCAGGACAATTTTTTTAGTGAAATGCACTTGTTTTCTGTGCTCAACATTTCAATGGTTCATAATCTAATGCATTGTGGGTAATTTGGTGAGTTAACAATGAATTACCAACCAATGGCTAAGTTATAACATTTTTTTTAGTGGATGAAAAATTACACACAATTCCTTTCTTTCTAGAATTTAGTTCAGACAATCTGCATTTGAAAATTTATATAGTTCTATCAGATTATCTTTTAAAACAAAGTTTCTGTTTTTCAAACATAACATAAAAGAGTAGTTCTTAAGAAGAATAGTTTGAATATAATAATATACTTACTTTTTACTTTTCCCCTGAGCTAAGCTTAGAAACTCCAAATTATTAGAACTGTGTCAAAGGGAGATAATTTCGACA